AAATGCATTAAGAAGGTTCTTCTCCATTCGTGGTCCAGCTAAGCATCTGCGTTCAGACAGGGGGACAAATTTTATAGGAGCTTGTAAGGAACTAGACTTGGACGAAGAAAACACTCCTGTACAGAAGTACCTGCAGGAGAGAGGATGTGTTTGGACTTTCAACCCCCCTCATGCTTCTCACATGGGAGGATCCTGGGAGCGCTTCATAGGAATCGCCAGGCGCATACTAGATGCAATGCTCTCACAAACAGAACAGACATGTCTCACTCATGAAGTCTTAAGCACCTTTATGGCTGAGGTGATGGCAATTATTAATGCAAGACCTCTTGTTCCCATATCCACCGATCCTGACTGTCCTGCGCTACTCACTCCAGCAATGTTGCTAACACAGAAAACGAGTGCTGTTTCTGCTCCGTCKGGGAACTTTTCTTCAGGACAGCTGTTTGGAAAGYAGTGGAAACACGTGCAGCATCTTGCTGACACCTTTTGGAAAAGATGGAAAGGAGAATATTTGCCCACTTTACAAAGTCGCCGCAAATGGACTGAAACCAGACCAAACATCAAAGAAGGAGATGTGGTTCTGCTAAAAGACTCTCAGGCTAGCAGGAATGAGTGGCCCATGGGACTGGTGGTGAGGACTTTTACCAGTAGAGACAAAAGAGTCCGCAAAGTGGAAGTGCGGATTGCACAAAATGGGACTGTTAAAGTATTCTTAAGACCAGTTTCAAAGATTGTTGTTTTACTTTCAGAAACCAAGGGAGTTTAAACATGTTGTAATATTGTTTGTTGTGATATAATGTGATTATRTCAAGCGGGGAGTGTGCTGCCTTTTGTTAAGACAGAAGTTTAAAGTTATAATTAGTTTAAGTAAATGCTTGGTGAAAACTTATGTTTGGTTTTAGATTCTGGTCAGAGTGACACATCGCATTCTCGAAAATATTGTTTTACATGCAGCACGTTAGGAGTGAGCGCTCTTACTGTAATATACAATCTTTGACGTATTTAGAAGAAGACAAGTTTGTCGAAGACACAGGTTAAAATAACTCATAACGCTGAATGTGCTCTTCTCACTTCGTACCTTGGAAGATTTTCGTCTTTGTAAGTATTGAGACAAGCATACCATTTAACGTGTTTATGATATCGAGTTAGGCTACGTTCACACTGCAGGTCTTAATGCTCAGTTCCGATTTTTTGAAAAAATCCGATCTTTTTGTGTGAACGTTCACATTACATTTTAAATGTGACCTGCATCAGACTCCTGTGTGAACGCTACACAGCACTGATGTGACACGCANAAGTCTTCAAAAACAAGAAAGCAAGCCTTGCGTGGGGACTTCTTTATTATTTGTTCGCTGGCTGTCTAGCTTCACATAGTCACGTGTTGTGAGGACAGCACAGTAAAAAGACGAGTACTCAGCGGGTTCAAGCATACAGAGCTACATTAAGCAACATGAGTCTTCGCTCTGGGAGAAGTTATCTCAGAGACTTTAATGCTGAGCAGCTAAATGAAGCTACTAGTGAGGAGCAACAACCAGAAGCCACMACTCGACCAGCTACAGTGGAGCAACATCCACAAACCTTCGACACTAGGTCTCAGGTATCCAGAGCACCCACCAGGCGGTCTCAACAAATATCTTCATCATCAACAGGTTCCTCAGCAGCGAGGGCCTACGCCAAAGCGCAAGCAGCACGCGCTCAACTAGCCTTTGCTAAAAAAGAAGCGGACATGATGAAACAAAAAGCTGAGCTAGATGCAGACCTGCATGTCCTCCAGTGTCAAAAAGCAATAGCCGCTGCTGAAGCAGAGGCCACAGCTTATGAAGAAGCAGAGAATCAGAGCGGGGAGCTCTGCAGAGAATTCTGCGTCGAAGCGGAACCCATCAGCCCTGTGCAGGGAACGAGCGATTATGTTCAACAACAGTGYGAGTTGTTCTTMCCTGGCACTCAGCACAATGAAGAACAGCCTCCTGAAAGAAATGACCGTGCCCAAAAAGTACAAGACCATGYACAGGTAGCTATTCCTGTTACAATCAACACTCAAACAAACCCACCACCACCGAACGGTGTAATTAAACAGGAGCCAACTGTGAACACACGTTCAACAAACAATGCACAAGATTTTGCAAAATACCTCATCCGCAGAGAATTGGTGAGCACAGGTCTCCTGCAATTCGATGATAAACCTGAAAATTACTGGGCATGGAAAACCTCCTTCATCGGTGCCACCAAAGACCTAAGTCTGTCTCCAAGAGAAAAATTAGACTTATTAACAAAATATTTAGGTCCTAAGTCATCTGAACAAGCAAAACGCATTCGTGCTGTGCACACCCTCAGTCCTGCTACAGGTTYTGAGATGGTCTGGCAACGCCTTGAAGAGTGTTATGGTTCACCCGAGGCAATTGAGGATGCACTTTTAAAAAGGGTAGAAGACTTTCCCAAGCTAACGAACAAAGACAATGTTAAACTGCAAGAGCTCAGCGACATCTTAATGGAACTACAGTGCGCTAAACAAGATGGAGGCCTACCTGGGCTCGCATACCTGGACACGGCTCGAGGAGTCAGACAAATAGTTGAAAAGCTTCCCTTCAACTTACAGGAAAGATGGACAACTGTAGGAACACAGTACAAGGAGACTCATAGGGTGTCATTTCCTCCGTTCTCAGTTTTCACACAGTTTGTTCAGCAGCAGGCAAAAATGAGAAATGACCCTAGCTTTGCGACATCCAATCCTAACAGCCATTTCCCTTCTCATACAGAAAAACCGAGACCATACAGTCGCAAGACTACTGTTTCTGCACATAAAACAGAGATCGAAGCAGAGTTTAAGCAAAGGAGTCCAAATGGACTGGAAGAACCAGATCACCAGTGCCCAATCCACAGAAAACCACACCCTCTCAAAAAGTGCAAACTTTTTAGAAATAAACCCTTTGAAGAAAGAAAGACTTACTTGAAAGAAAA